AAAAAAAAAAAAAAGAAAGAAAGAAAAAAGAAAACTGAAAGGTAAGATAATGACTGGGAGAAAGTATCCAAAATCCAAAGTGTTCGAAAATTGTCTACAACTTAATAACAAGAAGATAAACATGCCAATAAAAAGATGACAACAGATTTGAACAGATACTTCACAAAAGAAGACAGATTAATGACCAATAAGCAAATGAAAAAGTGTTCAACATTGTTGGTCATGAGGGAAAGGTAAACTAAAATACTAATGTGAGATAAACTTACTCATTTAATAACAACACAAAGTGTGGGAAAAGAAGATTTAGAGCAACTACAACTATCACCCAGTATAAGAGGGAGTGTAAAGTGATACAACCATTTTGTTTTTTTGTTTATCTCCATCGCCTTTAGCATTTTTTGTTTGTGTTACAGACAATACAATTATACTCTTTTGGTTATTTTTAAATGTACAATAAATTACTGTTGACTATAGTCACCCTGTTGTACTATCAAATACTAGATATTATTTATTCCATTTGTCAGGTTTTTACAAAGTTAAACATACTTACCATATAATCCAGCAATTCCACTCCTAGTTATTTATCCAAGAAAAATGAAAACTTACATGCACACAAAGACTTGAACACAATGTTCACAAAAATTATAATCCTAATGGCCAACAACTAGAAACAACCTGTTATAGACTAAACTGTGTCCCCTCCAAATTCACATGTTGAACCCTAACCTCCCAGTGTGGCTGTATTTGGAGGCAGGACCTTTAAAGAGATAATAAGGGTTAAATGGAGTTATAAGGGTAGGGTCCTAATCCAAAACGACTGGTGTCCTTATAAGAATAGGGAGAAGCACCAGGAATGTGCATGCACAGAAGAAAAACCATGTGAGGATGGAGCAAGAAGGCAGATGTTTGCAGACCAAGAACACAGGCCCCAGAAGAAACCATACCTTCTGGCACTGCGATCTTAGACTTCCAGTCTCCAGAACTGTGAGAAAATCATTCAGAGGAAAATAAACAAATCCACAGTTACAGAGGAAGATCTTAACATGTCTTTCAACAATAAGAGATCAAGAATACAAATTTAGTAGGGATTTATAAGACTTGACTGACACTATTAAAAAGCATAACCTAATATGTAAATATATATACTATATAACACATATATATGCTTCCACCAAGAAGTGAGCATAGACGCTTTTCAAGCTCATGTAGGATATTATCAAATATTGATTACATACTCTGCTACTAAGCAATTCTTAGCAGATAGCAAAGAATTAATGTCACAAGCCATTTTATCTGATCACAATGTTAGAAATATTAGACAATAAGAGACACAACAAAGTACAAATAGACTAATAACCTCAAGTTCCCTGTACATTGGAAAGTTTCTTAAAACTTCAAGCCAAGCGTGGTGGCTTATGCCTCTAATCCCAGCACTTTGAGAGGTTGAGGTGGGAGGATTACTTGAGGCCAGGAGTTCAAGACCAGCCTGAACCACATGACGAACCCCACCTCTAAAAAAAAAAAATTAAAAGTTAGCTGGGTGTGGTGGCTTACACTTGTAGTGTTAGTCACTTGGAGGTTGAGACAGGTGGATCACTTGTGCCCAGGAACTGGAGGCTGTGGTGAGCTATAATTGTACCACCGTACTCTAGCCTGGGAACAGAGTGAGACTGTGTCTCAAACAAACAAAAAACTTTAGTAATTAAAAATAAATCATAATGAAACTAGATGATATTAAAAGCTGAATGGAAATGAAAGTATTACCTCAAAACTTGTGGCTGCATCCAAAAAAATAGAAATTTCCAGTCTTAAATGCATAAAAAAGAAAAAAGACATAAAATCATGAAATGTGATACATTTATTCAAAAATTTATTTGAGATAGTTTAATAAGGACTAAGTACAGTCAAAACAATTTGAGGGAACATTAATTCTCCTAGATATAAAGACTCAACATAAAATTATAGTAGCTATAAGAGTGTATTACCGGCAAGTGTATAGACCAATGGAATAGAATGTATGGGAACTTATTTCTATGACAAAGTAGGCTTAACTTATACTTCAGAGAAGAAAGGATGATGGATATCTATTCACAAAAATAAAAATCATATGTCTACTTCAAATTACACAAAATCAATCTAAAGTAGGTTAAAGTCCTAAATGTAAAGGGCAAGATTTCACATACTTTCAAACATTTAGAAGAACTTTTAAATGAAAATATAGGAAAATATCTCTCTGCCCTTGGGATTGTAAAGGATTTCTTAGAGAAGACATAAAAGTACAAACTATATAGGAAAAGATTGATAATAATTCTGAGTACATCAGAATTTAACATGTCTGTTTATATTGCAAGGAAAGTGAAAAAACAAGCCACAGCCAAGAACAAGATAATTGTAATATCTTTAAAAGGATTATTATCAAGAATATATAGAGAATACCTTTAAAAATCGATATGAAAAAGATAAGCTACCCAATTGAAAAATGGGCAAAGTTTACAAAACTTTCATTCAAGAGAAATTCAAGAAAACATTGATAAAGGAAGAATCCTACATGGCTAAGAAACATTAAAAGATCCTCAATTTCACTTGTAATCAAGGAAGCACAAGAAAAAAGCATGGAAATAATTGTCTGACAATAGCAAATATTGATTCCTGTGTGAGAAAATAACTCATGACTTCTAATGGGAGAATGACACTTTAGAGAGCAATTTGACAATACTTAGAAGAGTTGAAATTGCACATATCTTGGATCTATTCCAGACATATAGCTTTTTAAAATTAATGTCCAGGCATAAACCTAGGGAAACACATAGTTAAGGAGAAATGTTAAAGGTTTGTTGCAATGTTTTATCACAGAAAAAAGTGAAAAAAAATTTAAATTTCCTTCAATATGGGAATGAATTTAAACAAGGAAATATATATACAATGTATGTAAGCAACTGTTTGAGTAAAGCAGTACATTATACATATCAAAATAGATGTGTCAAAATTATAATATTGAGCAAAGAGGGAAAGTTGCAAATGAATATCTCCAAGCATGTTTGTTATCACCTAAACAAAAACCAAAACATACAAAACAACATTATACGTTATTTGTGGGTAATGGGATTGTAAAAAAACTATTAAACACATGCAAAGGAGTTAGATACACTGACAGGAAAGTTATGCACACCAGCAATTAGGGAAGTAGGAGGGAAAAGGATAAGAGAAGTTGTATCTGTAATATTTTATTTCTTTAAACAAGGAGACATTTGAAGCCAATATGGCAAAATGTTAGTATCCTTACATGTGGAGGGTGGGGATATGTTTATCTGTTTTGTTACCTTTTTTTTTTTTTTAACCACTTTTTTTGGTACCTTTGAAATAGTTTCTAATTTTAACAAACGCTAAGGATTGTTCTGGATGTAGAATAGATAAGAAATTATAGAAGAATCAAAGTATAAGGAGAATGGTTAGTATGCTACAATTCAGTGTATTTAAATAAGTGTTTGTTCGTATATTTAATTTAATTGATGGAAGGCCAAAAAAACTCTTTTAAATATGATGCAGAATGTATTATAAGCATATTTTCCCAAACTTACTTGCTCAACCTCTCTGTTGAGGGAATCTACTTTTTCTTTTAATCTGTTACCCTCTGCCTCAGCAGTGATAAGTTCCAATTTTAGGGTATTGTTATCTGCCTCTGATTGACGGGCTTTACTTTCCCAGTTTTCAGCATCTTCATTGGCTTTTCGAAGTTGTTCCATCATTTGCCGGTTCTCAGATTCCTGAAAAGCAAACTTAAGCTATTATTTTAAAACGTTTAAAATGGTCTACATATGATAAAAATTAAACATTATTTTCCAGGTCATTGGGATTTCACTTGCCATGAGAAGCATTTATAATAGAACCCTGAGGAAATGTATCTATAATCTTAGTTTAGAAAACAGGTCATCCTGTAAGTAACAAAGACAGAGCAATCAGGATCTGCCCTGGCTCCTGAGTAACACTCAGTGAACACTAGTAAACAGTAAATTTAAGTAAATTTCTCTTTTCTTCAAGACCTGAATGAATTTGTTTTTATATTTCATTTTGTTCAAAGTCCTCCACAGCCTGCTTTTCCCATATGTCTGCTTATTGACTACTTGCTGGGCTGGCTTCTGAACCTCTGACCTTTTGTAATGGTGTATTCCCTTCTTCCTGACCAATTTACTGCATTGTGCTGGCTATAGAGCTTCTGAGTACTTGCATATTTTAAGTGTCAACTTCTGATAATTTCTTGTCTGGTTTCTGCCTTTTATTCATAGCCGCAGCCTTAATTATCTTGATCATGAACTGTTCTATGATTATCTTTTACCTGCTAGTCTAGTAACTTTCCCTGTCAGTCTAGTAACTTTCCTGAAATTGCTCAGAAGTAAACTATCAAACCTATGCCAATAAACACTAGTCACAAATATGCATTCATGTATAAACTCAGTTTATACTAAATAAGTTTATACTAAATGTATCAGTTTATACTAAAGTGCCAGTTTATACTAAATATACTAAAGTATCAGTTTATAAAGTATCTAAAGTATCAGTTTACCCTAAATATACTAAATAAGTAAGAACCAGATATTTTAAACTTTCAAAATTCTATCATGAGCAGATTAACTGAAGTAGGGTCTAATTTCTAGTAAGGAAATAAGGAGGGGAAAAAATTCAGCTCCACAAACAATATAATATACTGAGTAATCATTATTAGACTATTTTTAAAAAAACATTTTATTATGGTTTGGTAAATTAATTCTAAAAAATTAGCTGGAATTTTGGTAATTAATTTTTTAAAAGGTACTAGATCTCTTTCTCTCCTGTTAATAAATAGTGCACTTCCCTAGCAGAAATCCTGAGCTAAATAACATGACCAAATTGTAATGAATAATGTCTCACCAATGCTCCTTCAAATCAGACAAACCGTCTCTCCATTACGATTACAATAATTCAGCTAATATTGCCACCTTGTGGCCTCTAATGTGAAAGATCTTTGTCAAGTCTGTGTTAGTCAACGATATACCAAACTATCGTTCAAGATTCAGATACTCCAAATGTGTCAGTAGGAACCTGATATGTGTTTTCCATGATTGTACTAAAAATAATAGTCGTGTACAGAGTATGTACTTGGAAGGTACTTGTACAATATACTTAAATTGAATTTTACTCTCATCGATCTTTACCCTCTTTAACTTTTTGTGGTACTTACTGTCCATGTCATTCAATTAAAACTGTCTTATGGCTTTGTGGTGTTAGGTGTGGATGTAAAGCCTCCCCTTTTTATGTTAAATTTAGTTTTGTGACCAGGGAGTACACTGTTCAAAGTGAAAAAGGATTCCTTAGAATGTCTCTCCTGTACTCCAACCACCCAGTGCTCCCTCCTTCTTGGCAAACGGAAACCTATTTTACCACTTTTCATATCCTCCCATAGAGGCCAGAGCAGTGTTGAGCCTGAGAGGCAACACCATAAAGAAAGTGAAACTGTTCTTTGGTATTCTCTATTTCCTGCTTTTGGGATCTCTTCACTTCTGTAAGGTGCCTCCCCTTCTGTAGGGTGCCTCCACAGCTCCCTCTGGCCACCCACAGGCTCACTGCAACACTCCATAGGCCTCAGCTGGAATCCTTTGCATTTCTTTTCTAAATTATGGTTACAACCTCTTCTAGCTGCTATCTCCACTTCTGATTCTGTTACCCTTCTGGCTTATTCTTGACATCTCCAAAATAAACTTCCTAAAAGGCAATCCTTAAATAACTTCCATGCTTTAGTTCTAACAAAAGCTTCTGAAAATAGGGTTCAAAGAAAGCCCTTCTCACCTCTGTCATCTACTTGTACACTCTACTCTACCTACGGGGCCTATTTTTTCCTCTACACCTCTGCTCATGTTGTTCCCACTGCCTGGGAGCCATTCTGTTTCCTCTCTGTTTTTCATCTTTGGCACTCCAGCACCTAGCACACTGCATGAATACGTGAATGAATGAAGTACTCCACACTTCTTGATGGTCTATCCCTATTAAAATGGATCCGTGGTGCATTCTCTCAGGGCCTGCATTCATCCAGTGTTATGCAATCTCATAAACAAACTCATACTAGGATGCTAAAATCCCCAGCACTTTGGAAGGCCAGGGTGAGAGGATCACTTGAGCCTAAGAAGCATGATGGGTGATGTCTGAAAATATAATTCTAGAATCTAAAAGTTTTAATCGCTAAAGGCGGAATTTCAGGTAATGTGACTAACAGACTAGGGAAATAAAGGAAAGTGTGTAACACTGGCTAAAAGCTTACTATGTTAAATGTTGCTCTGGGCTGGGTACGGTGGCTCACGCCTGTAATCCTAGCACTTTTGGAGGCCAAGGCAGGCAGATCACTTGAGGTCAGGTGTTTGAGATCAGCCTGGGCAACATGGTGAAACCCCAGTCTCTACTAACAATACAAAAGTTAGCCAGGCATGGTGGCATGCACCTGTAATCCCAGCTGCTCAGGAGACAGGAGAACCACTTGAACCTTGAACCTGGGAGGCAAAGGTTGCAGTGAGATGAGATTGTACCACTGCACTCCAACCTGGCAACACAGTAAGCCTGTCTCAAAAAAAAAAATGTTGCTCTAGATATTCATTTATTTATTTCTGCCCTATTCCAGAATAGATTCAGATGGCTCACTGTGCTAGGTGTTTTAAATTATCTCACTTACTTGGGTGTTGTTCCCAATTACAGATGGGAAGAATCAGAGAGGTTGAGTAGCCTGCATAAATAAAAAGCCTTCTGTTCATTTATGGTATTACATTGCTGGAACCTTAAAATCAAGAAGTGTAGGAAACCACATGCTTTTCCTACACAGGCTGCTTGCTGCCTAAAAGCAAGGTTTGCAATTTAGGAATCCTTAGAATCTCTTCTGTGTCAAAATCCTTAAGAGTGCTATGCATACGATAAATAAATGTTCAAGATATATTTGTGGACTGATATAAGATGATAAATAAAATAGCATAGGTGGATTGATTATTATAATAGGTATGGTGTTACCTACATACCACTCAAACCATTAATGCATCCTCCTTCAATGTCAGAAATATTTTACCTAATAGACGTTATCTAAAATCCTCAGTCAAGCTGCTTGTTTATTCCTGAGTTGACACACGTGCGCCACATTTATTTGGAGTCATCTGATCTCACATACAAGTGTCTGGTCAAATGACTGCTAACAGAGAAGTGTGAGGAGAACCATCTGTCCTGTGGTCCTAAAAAATAGATGGCCCCATAACAGGGTAATCAATTCGGATCTGATACATAATAAGGTGGAACCTCTTTTGTCAGAGGTTTGTAATGGAAAACCCCACCACTTTCAATTAATTATAAGTGAGGTCAAGTTGATTCTGGCCCTTTGTCTATCATTCAGTCAGGAAGATTCTGCTTGTCTAGAGTGGCAACAAGAAGGGTGTATTCTTAAGGCATCTTTTGGAACATTCTAAATATGTAGTTAATCCACGATTGTCACAACTAAACTATACTATGTATTAAAGAAGAATCTGATTCACCTGTCCCTCTGAGTATACTCAATTCTAAACTCTAGTAAAAACTGTATCATGAGCAAAAAGAAAAAAAATACATACTTCAGACTTTAATATATTCTTCAGCTTGTTAACCTCTAAATTAGTATCTTGAACCTTCTGTTTTATGTCATTAAGTTCATTATGAGTGTCATTCAATTTTTTGGACAGTGCCTATGAAAAAAAGATAGGTATATTTAACTATGAAAAAAATTCTATATCTCAAAAATACCATAAATTTTTAAATACTTGGAACAAATAAAATTAACATACCTAATATGTAAACTCATATAAAAACAGAAAACACATGAGCCCAACAGCAAGTGGGCAAATGACCCAAACAGGCAATTCAAAAAAGGAGGCATAAGTAGGTAAGACCTGAAAAAAACTAAACTAGCAATCAAAGATATGCTACTTAAAACAATGAATTACTATTCTGTGTATCAAATTCATAAAGATTTAAAGCTATTCAGCTATGGCAAAGAATGGGCGCTTCCATGTACTGTTGGAGTAAATGTAGATTTGCAGAGAGCAAATCTGTGATCATGTATCTGTTGTATCAAGAGACAATTTTTAAATGCTCATAAAAAGAAGAAAGACAAAAATGTTAACTATTGTTGAGGGTGAGAGATGGCACATAGGGATTCAATATATTTGAAAATGTCCATTTACTTTTTTTTTTTTAAATTTAAATTAGAAACCTCAGCTGGGTGTGGTGGCTCATTCCTGGCCACCTGGCACTTTGGGATGATCACTTGAGCCTAAGAATTTGAGACCAGCCTGAGCAACATAGTGGGAACCCATCTCTACAAAAAAAATAATAATTAAAAAGAAACCTCATATGCTATGATTCAGTCTGAAATGAAATCTAATAAAATTTAATGAGATACTGTCATTAAGGCATTTTTGCTACACTGACAATATTTATTCCCATTAAGTGAATCATGCACTAAATAACAGTATATCTACATAGTGGCATAACTGCATAATGAAATATTACATTATTTATGAGAAACATTTGGAATGGTTTTTAATAATACAGGAAAATGTTCACCTAAGTGAAAAAATCATGCTAAAACACAAAAATACCTCATTATCCCAATTTTGTTAAAAATTGTGGTATCAAGGATAAAATTTTTTAAAGTTTCCACCTTCTAGTCTTCTGCAATACTAGTTCTTAACCTATGGTCCACAGAGAGAGACCTCTCTTCTACCTTGGGTCTATGACCATAACGAAGGAAAAAAACTACTCTTGAACATATGTAAACTGTTATGACAACAGTTTTCTTCTGTTTGTAAAAAAAAAAAATGATTACAAAGTTTGAACAAGGCAGGAAAGTGCTTACAATATTACAGTAAGCTAATAATAGCTATAAAATATTTATGGAGTGATATATTGGACAGTATGTAAGTGTTTTCCATGTATGGTCTCATTTACTATCCATTTTTACAGATGTTACACTGAGATTCAGAGGTTGGTTTACATGATCACACAGCAGACAGCGAGATTCAGCCTAGGTGAATCTTATTCAACTCTACTGCCACTTCACATAGAAAAAAGCATCATATAAAGTGATATGTGATTTTATCCTACTACATTAGAAAGTGTGTATAAAAATCGTGTTAAAAATTTTAAGTGCACTGAATAGCAATAAAAAAACCATGTCAAATGTAACAGTGACAAACTGGGTGTTAAAAACTTGGGGGCTTTTTAAAACTTTCTTAACTTTTTGTTTACAAAAAAAGACTTTCTAAAATAAGCTTCTATTTCTAAAACAGAAACTAAATTTCTAGGTCTTCATAAGTAAGATATATCCACCTTTAGCCCATATGCTCTAGCTGTAAACAGTACACAAATGCAGACCTTATAAATTCTCATCTTTTGTTTTTTATTGCTATTCATTAATTTTTTAAATAAGCTTTATTTCAGAATAGTTTTAGATTTACAGAAAAGTTGTAAACGAAGTACAAAGAGCACTTCTATTATTAACATTTTACATTAGTATGGCACATATATCACAATTAATAAACCAATAGTGATACATTATTATCTAAAGTCCACACTTTATTCAAATTTCCTTCATTTTTACATAATGTCCTTTTTCTATTCCAGGATTCCATTATTAATTAACTTTTAAACAAAGTACTTTAACATCCCAGATAATTTTTTATGATTAACAAACATTACATCTTTATAGCTGTTTAAGTAAATTAATAATCTTTAACAGTTAAAGAATATAGACTTTCATGATGCAAACTAAACACACTGTAAGTGATATCAAAGTGGGGAAAACCATTTGGACTAAAAAATTTTGAGAAGGGAAGGAATTTTCCAAATAGAATTTTTAAATGTTCAAGTTAAAATAAATATTAGAAATGAGAACTGTGGGTTAGATTTAAATATATTGCCTTAGGGAGAAAGAGTAATTATAAGAGGAATTTTCCTAAAAACAATCACAGTGCTAATGAGGACCAAAACACAAGGCACAGTCCATACAGTCATACTTAAAACAGAATAATATGTAGTCCATTGAAAAAAAACTATTCTTTTAAGGTTTATCAAGCTTTTTATTCTCGTTTGTTGATTTATTCAAATATTTATCCTTTAGTAAAGAAGCACTAAGGTTTAATACAAAGATAGCCCTTTTCTCTCTTTTCTTTAATATTTAATCCTTTATGCCTAAGAATTCCATTTAAAAATTATGTGGCCTATTTTGTTATATTAAAAAAAAAAAAAAAAGGCTAGTTCCAGTGTCTGAGCTCTTCTATAAAATGAAATGAGGGCTATTCCTCAGAAGAAATTCATATTTTTTTCCTTGGAGAAAATGATTCTAGGAACAAGTGTACCTGGTTTTCTTGTTTAGCTTTAGCAAACTGTTCTTGGAGATTGTCATTGTCATGAGCCAAGATATCTCTTTCCCTGGCGATCTGGGCCAGTTCATCATTTGTCTCATCCAATTGCCGACGCATTCTGGAAATGTCTTGTTCACACATAATTAGGGCCTCAGTAGACTGTCTATTTCACAAATCAAAGAGTACATAAGGAAAGACATTTTACTGAAACAGAGCAACCAATTATCACAAGACATAAGATGGACAGTTAGTATGAAAACATTTGGAGAGATTTTAAACACATTTGAATTTATAGGAATAAATACTGGAAAGACAGTGCATTAGAGTTACTCTATGTTGCCATTATTTCACTATGAAAAGGATACAAATATACATTATAGTCAATGATCTGCCAAGTATTTCAAAACTTCTGACATCAAGTATTAGGAAAGCTTTCATCCTACCTCTTTTTGTTAGGGTTTAGTCTCCTTTACAGATTCCTCTTCCTCTGTACGATTAAAAATTAATGGTTTCCAGGGCTCAAGCCCTAGGCTCCCAATTCTTCTCCCTCTAGCCCTTGTCTTAGATAAACAATATTCATAGCCACGGTTCCCAACCCCGTCTATACCCAATGACTCCAAAATAATTATCTGCAGCCTTAGCTCCTATTACACCCCAGGCATATTTCACTGCTTACTAGACATGTCTACAATAAGGTCCCAAAGGTTCTTCAAATTCAGAGGTAAAATCACCTTTTCTCCTCATACTTTCTACATGTTCAGTATTTGTCCCTGGCCAGAAACTTGGCATTTTCCTAGTGTCTTTCCTTCACATAAAAGCACCTCACTCCTTCTATCCCACAACTCTTAAACCCCAAATTTATCATCAACTCTTCTGCTTGGTTATCCTTCTGACACAAAAATCTCCTCAGAATTCTTAAATGATTTCTTAATGCCCAAAGGATATAACCAATACTCATTTGTCTATAACACAAGCCTCTGCCTGCCTATTTAGCCTCCTCCCTTCACTTCTCCCCTCACTGTCTAGGTTTCAACAACACTCACCTACTTGTAGATCAAGATGCTTGTGAACATGATCTGTGGTTCTTTGCTATTCTTTCTACTTTGAATGCCCTTCCCTTCCCCTTATTTTACTTGGCAAACACCATCCCCTCTTTTAGTTCCCTAGACAGACTTAGGCCCCCGCTTTGACGAGAGAGTTAGCACCTTACATGTATCACTAAGCCCCTTGTTTCTTATTATCTTTGGACCCAACATGGTACTTGGCCCCCGTGTAAGTGCTCAAATATTTGTTGAATGACTGATTTACCTTGATGCCTGTTCCATCTCAGCAATGATATTCTTCATGCCTGAAATGGTCTTTTCCTTGAAAAGTAATATAAGTATTGAATAAAAAATTATCTTAAGCTGTTATTTCTGTTAAAACTGAATGAACAAAAAAATAATTTCCCCTTCCCTTTAGGTTTCCATTTTGTTTTAAATATGTATGCCCTGTTCTTTTCCACACTTTAAAGCCTAGTATATCAATGCGAATATTTGCACTGGGTAAAAATAGATTATGTTCATTAAAGTAAAGGCTATACTTAGGTGTAATTATATGAGATCAGTAATCAAATTCTTTGTTAAAAGATATTTTGTGCAGTCACCTAGCAACACAAGAACCCCATAACCACCTGTTTTTGGAGGCAAACTAATGGTTTGGCATTGGAGTACTGGTATTCTATGCTGGGATTAGAACTGGTTTGCTTGCTCACATTCTTTATGTTATAAAACCCAGAGAAGCCAATCATGTATAACTAAATTTAGTTTTTAAGAATAATTTTGATTAAGTATATTATTTATATTAGCCAGTAACAGTCTCTTCAAAAAGCTGTTCCAATCCAATTATTTTTAAAAGTATACTACTGATATTTAGGTATGAGCTAATAAGGAGGTAAGTATTAGGCCTAGAGAAAAGATAAGAAAAATAAACTATATTCTCCTTTTTTAAAGCCAAGGTGAGGGAGTAGAATTAGTGGAGTCAGTCAAGGCAGAAATGGGTTTGAATACCTTAAAGCCCTAATACCATTCTTACACCTCTTTTTAAAACTGCCATTGAGCCTGAACTAGTCCAACTATAAACAGATACTTAGAGCTAACATTATCCCTAAAAAAGTAAGAAAATTATTTCACTAAGTAATAACTGGATTTCACCTTGCCCTCTGAATTTTCAAATCTTAAGTAACCAAGTAAAAAGATTTTTTAAAATTCAAACCTATATTTTCCAACCAACTCTGTTCCTCTCTTTAGTGTTAGTTTTGCACACACTTGTGTGTGTGCATGCTATCTTCCTTTATTCATGTGCTCTTCTCTGGGGTATTTTTAGTTACAGTTTCCCATTTTGCTTTTTCATAGAATGGTACAAATTCCACAACTGGCAGTATTGGTGTGTTGTTAAAATATCCGTTAAAAAAAAAAAAAAGTTAAACCTCTTCAAGAAGGACAGGCCAACAAAGGAAGAACTAAAAGACAAAATATTGCTTAAAATGGAAGGTTTACATGTTTCTGAAATATGATTTAATACATTTCTAATAAATTCTGAAAAACTAGTTGAACTAGTGCTTTTGAAAGTTCCTCACTCAATTAATCTTAAAATATGTTTCATAAGCCTAAAAAGGGCTTCCTTTTATCAACAGAAGTGCATCTTCAAGATTCACTAGAAACATCGTAAAGTATCCAAAGCAACAAAATTTCTGGATTGAATCCAATAATATATCTTCTATTTTTCTCTTAATATGACCCTATACCACCATTTCTCAAATGTGCCATCATTCCTTGTACAACCTCAGTATGTTCTAAGATATATTCCCTGTATGACTTCAATGTTTAGCAATTTTTAAAATAATAATTAATATTCCTTGTTTAACCTCATATGTTGTCCAACTAGGGATGTAGATTCACGTTAACTGTCAAAATTCAGTCTGGACAGGATGGTGCTAAGTATATTTAGAAAAAATAAACAAACTATAACTTTATTCAAATAATTCTGGCTTTTCTTACCCAAAAATCTATGAATTTGCTCTTGAGTTTTCTAATTTTAATTGGTAGTGAGTAGTAAAACATTTTTTAAACCGTGAATACCAGAAAAAAAATCACTTTATTAACTATAATGTAGACTTTTCCACACTAATTTATTTCTGTAATCTCCATATAAACAGTTTTCAATGAGTGACCGTTGTTAGTTTAGCTCTGAAATATCACGGTAGAAAACATTTCCTCTTTTGATTGCCTAACACTGCCTTACAAGTTACTTTCCGTACAGAGGATGATGTGCTTACTTTCATAAAATCTTATACAAAGTTCTTGATTTTGAAGTAGACTTGTAACTCAGTATTCCTTGTGAAGGAAAGAAAACACTGGTAGAGTTAGCAGAATGGAAAAAATGTGAAATATTAGATACAGCACAAGAAAAGGAGATTTTGAAAGATGTGAAGAATTTTTTTCTAAATGTTAGTGTTTTGAAAATGTTTTAAACATAATGAGAAGCAAAATTCCACCTAAAAAACCCTAAAATTTCAAAAATAACGAGCCAGCATTTTCCACAAGTATTTACTATCTCACACCCTTTGATGACCTGTTATGTTCGTGATTCCCAAATCATCTATTAACTTTAATGCAATTTTCCTCCAAACCTAAAAATCCAAGAGCCTTTGAATATTTCATCTACATATCCCAAAGACAATTCAAACTTGCCAGTAACTTTCCTTTTTTTTTTTTTTTTTTTGAGACAGAGTCTTGCTCTGTCACCACACTGGAGTGCAGTGACCCAATCGTGGCTCACTGCAACCTCCACCTCCCAGGTTCAAGCAATTCTCCTGCCTCAGACTCCCTAGTAGTTGGGGCTACAGGAGTGCACTACCACGCCCGGATAATTTTTGTATTTTTAGTAGAGACAGGGTTTCACCATGTTGGCCAGGATGGTCTTGGTCTCTTGACCTCATGATCCACCCACGTTGGCCTCCCAAAGTGCTGAGATTACAGGTGTGAGCCATGGCACTCAGTCAATAACTTTCCTTTCTAAGCCTGTTCTAGTTTCTGTTTCTTCCTTAATACATAGGAACTATCCATGTGATTCTTAAGCCAGAAACACCACCTTGTCAATTTTACTTCCTTAATAGATCTATTTCTCTCATTGATACTCCTACTATCCTAATATAGGTCTCAACACTGTTCTCTTAACTAGTGTCCCTGTCACTATTCTAATTTCTCTATAATTCATCTTTTATATGAATTTACAAATGCCAGAATATTTGTTATAAAGACCTAATTGTAATATTTCATCATCATATTTCAGTGACCCTCTATATCCATAATGATAGAGCTCACATTCAACATCACATGTGCTTTCATGATTTTTTACTTATCTATCCCATTTCTTCATATATCTATATATGTTATCATCTATATATGTAGATATAGATATATGAAGAGATGGAAAATACACACACACACACACACACACACACACACACACACACAGAGAGAGAGAGAGAGAGAGAGAGATAGAGAGAGAGAATGCAATGAGCATCACAGCAGAGAAAGGACTGTCTGCCTATCCCATCTTTTCTTTGCCCTCCTACATCTATCTCTCTACAACCTGTTCTCTGGGCATGCTAAACTATCAGGAAGTCTCATGAAATTCTCTCATGAAAGCCACTGGACTCTCACTTAAGCTGTTCAACCTGTCTGGATCACCCTTTCTCACTGTCTTCTTCTCCTAAATATTCTCCTGACTACTGATTAGTCATTTTTCAGGGCAGTCCAGGCATCATCACTTAATGGAAGGTTTTCCAGACCTTCCTCCTCCCTTAACCCAATTCCCAGGGTGAATCAGGTGTGTTTTTGCCAAACTCCAACTTAATACATTCTATCATAATAGTATCTTTATCTCTCTCCTTATTACACTAGAGGCTTTGAGAAGGCAGATCATTCAACCACCCCCCCCCTTTTTTTTTTTTTTTGAGGAGACAAAGTCTTGCTCTGTCATGCAGGCTGGAGTAGGGTGGCACAATCTCGGCTCACTGCAACCTCCACCTCCCAGGCTCAAACAATACTCCTGCCTCAGCCTCCCAAGTAGCTTGGACTACTGGCGTGTGCCACCATGTTCAGTTAATTTTTGTATTTTTCGTAGAGACAGGGTTTCACTATATTGCTCAGACTGGTCTTGAACTCCTGAGCTCAAGTGATCCTCCCACTTCCCAAAGTGCTGGGATTAGAGGCATGAGCCGCCACGCCCGGCCTCAACCTCAGCTTCTAACATAACACCTGGTACATGTCAACAAATGTTTGTTTAAAGAATGAATGGATGGGTGGCGACATAACTTAACAAATTAGTTGCCTTAGAGCAGGAAAAGCCCTTATTCCAATGATGCTGCTTTTGCTTAAGATATTTGTGAAAACAGCTTAGGAAATGCTTTCAGAATCAATTTATAAGCTAGAAAATAATATCAATATCTCTCTACCTTGTTGGCAACATCTTTTTTCTAAAACAAAACAAAAAAAAATGTGGGATGGAGGTTATCATCTAGCTTTATTCACCAGCCCTACAAGATCTATTCTCAAAGCCTGAGGATGATGTAAAAATGTGTTCCTGGTTCTAAACACAATTACAAAAGGCAGTTTTAATGAAACGGGCATATTATCTCCCAAAGTAACTACCTGAAAATATGCTTTTAAAAAGAAATTAGTCTCACTACTTTATTATCATGCTTTATATTTTGATATTTGAATGAGTTTTTGTCAGTTAATCTTAATTACTAATTCATAACAGAAAAATCAATTTAAAATATTAGCTATGGGATTTGTACACATACATCCTAAGACTATCTTAAAATATTTCAAAGTCAGATTTTGAACTTTCAACTCTCTAGAAAAGAATTTGAGAAAATCTGAATATTTTATTCATATTCTAGTTCTTTTAAACCATAGTTTAATATTTATCATTTTATTTAAACATTCTTATAAACCACAGTTCTCAGAACATACTTTCATTGCCAAACTCTCTCCAAGGGATGCAATATTCTCAGATTTTTTATCCAGACATGCTTGCAGGCATTCCTTTTCTTTAGCCAGATCATTGAGGGTTGCACCAAGAATGCTGATTTCTTCTCGCTGTGCAATATTTTGCCTTGTAAAATTATCTAAATATGTAATCATAAAAGTGTTATTTTGATCAAGATAAAATCTTTTTTCTATTTCAAGCAGATTATCATACTTTTTGAAGTAAGTCTCCTTACTTCTAATATATATTATATTTAATTACTAAAAATGAGTACTATATCCCAAATTTAAAAAATTTTTTAATTAAAAACTACAATGAATCACAACACTCTAAATGATGCATAAACACAAAAGCACATTACCACTGAATCAGAATAGTAAAAAGGAAAGCTCTATATTGCTCTCAAAATAGATTTATATGTATGGTAGGGGAAGAGTGGGTGAAATAAGTGGAATAGTGAAACAATCTGTGGCACTTCTTCCCTCTAGTTTCCCCTCCCCTCCCTCTAGCCTAAAGTTGGTAAGTAACACATCTTAATAAAATATTCAATTAAGTCATCTTTAAAATCAAATGTCTTCTAATATTCTGAAATTTCTAAAGTAGTGTTATAAAAACTCCTAGGAAAAAAATCATCCCAGGAAGTATGATTCAATTTGTGAGGACTCTTGCAGGTCAATCTCAATACTGAAGGCCTGAATAATTCGTATATAAGAATAGTTTTCAAATTGTGGTTTCTCAACCAGCACTATCAGCATCACCTGGGAAATGTACATTCTTAGACCTCCACTCCAGACCTACTGAATCAGAAATTCTAGGGGTAGGCACAGCAATTTATGTTTTAAAAACCTCTTCTTTCCCCAGTGATTCTAATGCATAATGAGGAGTAAGAACCACTCATCTAGAGTAGGGGTTCTAAGGTATTAGATTTACCTACAGAAACTGATAGGGACACAAAAGCTCTGGTCCTCGCATACTTCAAGGAGGCTGGCTCTAATGATCTTTATTAGCTCTCAAGGTGATTCTGACACAGATAACAGTTTGAGAACCACTGATCTAGAGCTCTACAAGGAAAGCTCTGTTAGACTAGACTTGTTGGTTAATCCCTACAAGGTTAATACTTGTGAGGGCCATCCAGGAGCAGTGCTAAGGGAGGTAATACCATATTTTCATATGCCAAGGCCATGATCTATATAGTACTGGAGAATACACCATGTCTCTTCTTGCAGGCAGTATTGCCTTTAAGGCAACCCACATGTTTTGTGTGTCCTGATATCTGAGTTCACTCCCATTGGCAATCAAACAATCAGTACATCTCTAAAACAGCTCTAGTATCTCCTAGCTTAAAAAAAATTCAACCTAACAGCCCACTGAAACTATTGCCCTATTTTCTTCCTACCCTTAAATAGCCAAACTTGAGAGACTTCTTTTCTGTCTGCACTTCACTTCCCATTTATGCCTCAATCCACTCCATCTTCTACAACCAACACTCCATTCAAACTTTTTTTGGTGTTACAAAACCTTCCAACGTGCCAAATCCAATCAATAATATTTTTAGTCTCATTTATTTCACTTCTCACAAGTGTCTGACAATTGATCATACCCTCCCTTTAAAAAACACTTTGCTTTCTGGCCTTCCAAAATAACACTCACTTCTGGATCTTCTTCCTACTTCTTTGGCTTCTTCTTACTCAGTCCTGGATCCTCTTCTCCTCATTCTCTACATTTCCCTAGGTAATTTCATGGTTTTAAAATATCATTTATATGCTGATTTGTCCCAAATATGTATCTTTCTCTTCTGAGACACAAACTTAAATATTCAACTGCTTACCTTAGATCTTTATTTGGACTTAAAATATCCAAATGAGAGTTCTCCGTCAATATTAGCTTTTATATTTGTTTTAATATTTCCTGGTTTGATAAATACTATCACCACCTGCCTAGTTGTTTATACCAAACATTCTTGAACTATATAATGGCAAGCGTTAACAATATTTCCTCTGCTTTAAAATAGGTTCTTTTATAGCCCTGACCAAAATCATACCTTATAAGATTAAGTTATGACCATATTTTCATACTAATCCTAATAAGAAACATAAAGAGGAGACTTTAAAAAAGTAACTTTCACTATAAACCCCAGTAATACCATAGACATAGCCAAACATGTATACTTTCCAACAAAAGTTATAGGTACTATATTTCATTATAGCAGCTATGGACAAGCTACAATAGTACACAAAATATTTCAAATTTAAAAGTTATCATCATACGTTTACAAACTGTTGCTGCTTAGTTTAGCTACTACTTCATTGACAAATTTTAACTTATCACTAAGTACTTACAGCGCTGTCTAAAAAATTTTGCTGTCAAAGAAAAATCCATTTTTCTATTCTTTTTCATTCATAAGAACTTCAGAATACAGATTTAAGAAAAAATAAAAGTAATATTAGGAGAAAAAAACTCACCAATTTTTTCATCCAAGCACATAATTTTCTCCTGGGTAAGCTGTAGCTCATATTTTTTCTTAGCAAGGTGTCGTTGAGTATCAGAAAGATCCTTTTCTGTATTTTCATATAAAAGTCTACAAATATAATAAAACTAATTCTGAAATTTTTGTTTTGTCATCTTGTAGTGTGTTTAAATCTAAAAACTTTTAAGGACACTAATATACTTATTTCCTCTTAATATTTTAATACAGTTTTAATATTTTCATTAAAAAACCAGGAAGTTTAAAAAATAAAGGATAAGAAGGGATCTTCAATCCATCACTCCAATATAAGCTACTATTAGCTTATATTTTGGCAATAGTACCTTCCCTAAGTCCCCTAAGGCCAAATCAGAGCAATCATTTTAGGAACTGTTATGTTAGCTATGGCTGGGGTTTGTCTGTCTCAATAGCCTAAGGTCTTATGATTTAATTCAGACAATAAGATGAAGCCATAGAGATGTCTACAGCACAAAGAATAGAACTAAGGTGTCCCAAGTAAATATGGAGAGATATACCATTAGGGAGAAGGTCAGACTAGAGAAAAACACCTTGTCAATTTTTGATACGCTCAGGAAAATAGTAACAACAGAGAGTCTTAATCTCAATCTAAGACATCAAAATAAAATGTGATTCCCGATTGGTCATACAATCAGGAACTCCTGGCAAAACTCTAGAGGCATGCTCTCAACCCAAGCAGAGAACTAAACCCCAGACAAAAGCCTACAGAAAATGATCTCATAATACAAAATTTGAAAACACAATAAGAAACGATCCAACCTTAGTGGGAGCCAAGAGACACACAAACTAAATTAGATCCCTAAGAACTTCAGACTACAGCACTATCAAATAGAAACTTAGAAATACATGTGTTTACAGCAAAAGAAACTATCATCAGAGCAAACAGGCAACAGAATGGAAGAAAATTTTAGCAATCTATCCATCTGACAAAGGGCTAACAGCCAGAATCTACAAAGAATGTAAACTAATTTACAAGAAAAAAACAAACAACCCCATCAAAAAGTGGGCAAAGGGTATGAACAGACACTTCTCAAAAGAAGACATTCATGCAGCCAACAAACATGAAAAAAAAAAACTCATCATCACTGGTCATTGCAGAAATGCAAATCAGGCTGGGTATGGTGGCTCATCCCACCATGGTGGCACTTTGGGAGGCCAAGACGGGCAGATCATCTAAGGTCAGGAGTTCACGACCAGCCTGACCAACATGGTGAAACCCCATCTCTACTAAAAATATAAAAATTAGCTGGGTGTGGTGGTGCATGTCTGTTATCCCACCTACTCAGGAGGCTGAGGCAGGAGAATCACTTCAACCTGGGAGGCAGAAGTTTTGGTGAGCCAAGATCATACCACTGCATTCCAGCCTGGGTGACAAAATGAGACTCAAAAAAAAAAAAAAAAAAAGTAAAGCCAAACCACACCAAGATACCATCTCATGCCAGTTAGAATGGCGATCATTAAAAAGTCAGGAAATAACAGATGCTAGAGAGGATGTGGAGAAACAGGAACACTTTTACACTGTTGGTGGGAGTGTAAATTCAACCACTGTGGAAGAGAGTGTGGTGATTCCTCAAGGATCTAGAAATAGAAATACCATTTGACCCAGCAATCCCATTACTGGGTATATACCCAGAGGAGTATAAATCATCCTACTATAAAGACACATGCACACATATGTTTATTGCAGCACTGTACACAATAACAAAGACTTGGAACCAACCCAAATGCCCATCAATGACAGACTGGATAAAGAAAATGTGGCACATATACACCATGGAATACTATGTAGCCACAAAAAAGGATGAGTTCATGTCCTTTGCAGGGACATGGATGAAGCTAGAAACCATCATTCTCAGCAAACTAACACAAGAACAGAAAACCAAACACCGCATGTTCTCGCTCATAAGTGGGAGTTGAACAATGAGAACACATAGACACAAGGAGGGGAACATCAGACACTGGGGCCTATTGCCGGGTGGGGGGACTAGGGGAGAGATAGCATTAGGAGAAATATCTAATGTAGATGACAGGTTGATGAGTATAGTAAGCCACCATAGCACGTGTATACCTAAGTAACAAACCTTTACATTCTGCACATGTACCCCCAGAATTTAAAGTATAATAAAAAAATTGATTTAAAAAATAAATACATATGTTTAAATACAAAGACATAAAATAAGTAATAGTATATGTAAAGAAAAAATAACCAACAAATTTGGAAAAAAAAACAAATAGAACTTCACAAAATTAAACTAATATCAAAATTTTAAAAATTACAAAACTCAGTGAACAAGTTAAGAACACAGATTGACACTGCCAAAGAGATAACTGGTAAACTGGAGAAAAAAAGTAGATCAGAGGTCTTATATGAGAGCACAGATAAAACAATGAAAAAATACAAAACAGAGGTTAACAGACATAAAAGATAGAATAAGAAGGTCCAATATTTACCTAATCAAAATCCCAGTAGGGAAGAGTAAAGAAAACATTCAACAAAATAATAGCTAATAAAAGATGAAATCCCAGGCTAAAGAAGCATTAATCTGTATCTATTAAGACAATTATAAATGGGGGAGGATAAAAGGACTTAAAAGGAGGCAAGATTTCTATACTTTATTCAAAGCGATAAAATGTGACACCAGTGGATCATGGTAAGGGCAATTCACAGAGCAACCACTGAAAAATCTATAGACACTCAAAATACTACAAAAATACTGTAGATATAAAAAATGGGATTCTAAAAAATGTCAAGTAATCTATGAAAAGGCAGGAAAACAAAAACAGAGATATGAGAATCAGAGGAAAGAAATAAACAAACAAAAAACCCCCCAAAAAATAACATGGAGAATTGAGCCCTACCAATAATTATATTAAATGCATATGGTCTACCTTATTTTCAACAGCCAAAACCTGGAAGCAATCAAAACGTCCTTCACCAGGTTAATAGCTGAACAAATTATAGTACATTCATACTATAAAATGTTACTTAACAGTATCAAAAAAGTAGCAAAATTTCATACTTGGCTGGATCTCAATGGCATTATTCTGAGTTTTCAAGCCAATCTCAAAAATCATATCTCTATGATTCTATTTATAGAACATTCTTGAAATTACAAAACTGCAGCGTTGGAAAACAGATTAGTGACAGATTCAGGGATTGTGGTGGGGGAAGAGGAGATGTGACTATAAAGGAGAAGCATGAGAGATATTCTTGTGGTAATAGACTTTTTGTGTATTGAATGTGGTGGTTGTTACATGAAACTACACGTGTGATAAAATGACAGAACTATGCAGAACTATGCACACACATTGTACCAATGTCAACTTTCTGGCTTTGATCTTGTACTATGGTTATATAAAATGTAATCATTGTGGGAAAGTGAGTGAAGGGTATACATCAACTTCTCTGTATATTTTTGCAACTTCCTACAAATTACGAAATTATTTTAAAGCAGTAAAACAAAAAAAGTACTAGATCTAGGCTGCAAAATTACAACAATTAAGTTAAATCTCTGGGGATGAGAATCAATATCACTATTTTTTTTAAAGCTCCTCATTTGATTCCAACAAGCAACCAAGTTTGCTAAGGAATGACATGGTTTGGATGTTTGTCCCCTCCAAATCTCATGTTGAAATGCGATTCCCAATGTTGGAAGAGGGGCCTGGGAGGAGATGATTGGATCATGGGGCAGGTCTTTCATGAAGGGTTTAACACTCTCCCCTGGGTGATCAGTGAGTTTTTGCTAGTTAGTTCACATGAAATCTGGTTGTTTAAAGAAGTCTGGAACCTCCCCTTTTCTCTTGCTCCGCCCTTGTCATGTGATGCACTGGCTCCCTCTTTGCCTTCCACCAAGACAGTAAGCTGCCTCAGACCCTCACCAAAAGCAAATGCCAGCACCACACTTCCTGTACAGCCTGCAGAACTGTGAGCTAAAATAAATCTCTTTTCTTTTAAAGTTACCCACACTCAGGTATTTCTTTATAGTAACACAAGAATAGACTAAGAGCCTCCTGGTGTCTCTTCACTCAGGGGAGCAAAGGGTGAAAAACTGGCAAAGCAGCTATATATGAGGCAGAAAGTGATAGTGGTTTTATGGCATCAGAGTCTCTCCCATCTCCAAACACCATGAACTCAAGGAGGCTGACATTGTTCTACACCCAAAAGCATCATTTTACACAATAACTTATACCTTCATGGAAAAATGTGTTTCAGGGCCAAAATCCTAAGACACTTGAGGAGGCCATTTAAAAACAAAACAAAACAAAACACACTGATTACAAAATCAAGCAGAAGCAGGTATATTAGAAAAAATGTATCCAAAAAATTAGCCCCAAAAAAACATTAAAATAAAGGAGAAGCCAGGCATGGTGGCTTATGCCTGTAATCCCAGCACTTTGGGAGGCCAGTGTGGAAGGATCACTTGAGGCTGGGAGATCAAGACCAGCCTGGGCAACACAGGGACACTGTCTCTACAAAATTAGCCTGGCAAAGCGACACATATCTGTGGTCCCAGGTACTTGGGAGGCTGAGGCAAGAGAATCACTTGCGTGCAGCAGGTCAAGACTGCAGTGAGCTGTGATTGTGCCACTATACTCCAGCCTGGGCAACAGTGCGATCCGTCTCAAATAAAAAATTTTTAAAAAGTAGTAATTTTTTCTGGAGGTTCTAGAAAACAATTTTTAAAACTAAATAAAAGACAGTACTAGATATTGACAATATGAAAAAAGACATGGAAAAAGGCACAAATGACAGTCTTGAGAAATGTAGATGAAGTTAAAAAAAAACATGGTGTAAATAGTAGAATGGATACACCTGATAAATGAATTAGCACACTGACAAACTGATGAAATTTCAGAAGAAAAGGAAACATTAAATAAATAGAAATAGAAACATGAAATAAATTTAGAGGACTTACCAAGCTGACTTTGAGACTTACTACAGTATTCAAAATGGTATGACATTAGTATAAGTATCAACACATTAGACTAATAAAGCAGAATATAGAGAACAGAAATAGACCACAGATATATGGTCATTTTTCAATAAATACATCAAAGTAATCCAATGGGGAAAG